AACAGTTCGATACACGGAGAAATCCGCGTAATCTTTAAATGTAACAGGCGCATGCAGCGAGATGAAAACTTCACGAAGATAATCTCTGTATACATGGATCACCGATGGAATAGCGTAATTCCAACCTGTCTCTGTATTAACGTAACGTGAAGTTAAAAAATACACGTATATCTCGTACGATTTAAACTTCCTTTCTGTGTTGGAATATTCGAATTTTCGGAACCTTCGAGCTTCCGAACTTTTGATATTTTCGAAATTTCAGAATTCTCGAAATTTTCAGAATTTCCGAACTTTCGAATATTTGAAATTTCCAGAATTTCTGAACATTCGAATCTTTCAAATTTTGCGGAACTCTACAACTTTCAAAGTTTTCAAAATTTTGGATCTTCGGAACTTTCGAATTTCGGAAATTTCCGGAACCACGCAAACGAGTATAATTAAATCAGTTGGATACAATAAATTTTCATCGCGTTTAATTAACGAAACGTTACATTCTATCGGAAGAAGAAAAAAAGACGTGAAATTTGATTGGAAAGCAACTCCGGACGTTTACCGAAAATGGAATATTATTTTTTGGTTACGTGAAAACAGTTTGGAAGAATGCGCGTTCTACCGCGGCCTCAGGAGAGTCATTAATAACGCCGCTTAACAATTTCGATCATCGGTGCTTGTAATAATCTTGTTCCCGCTTAATGCTGCGTCAAAACGATCATCATAAGGGGATTAAAATTTCACGTGCCCATAATTCACACTCACCGGAGAATTTATTGCCTCACAGTTGAAAATCTTCAATGTCCAATTAAATGAACGATATACGAAAGCGTGCTTTTCAGTTAATCTATCACCGTCGCCGCAACAAGTTAAAAATTAATACAATCGAAACAACCGACCGATTAAAGTTCATGCGAATCGTATTAATTAAAGCATGAAATGCGTGGAAAATTTATCTTCATAAATACGAATTTCCTGTATCTTTGTTAATACTAAATCGCACACAAAATTTCCAACCCCTATAATTACAATGCGTCAAATCAAAATCCGATAAAATAAATTTGAAAAATTCCTGTCGATCCAGTTATCTCGATTTATAAGGATAAAACGATTTGAAAATCTTACGGAAAACATCGATGCTTCCTATCGAGTTAGACACATGTCGCATTACTATACGATCCTGTGTCATCGACAAACAATAGTATGATCCCAACAGAATGTATTACCGAATACAATAGGATTCTGATCCCTTCAATTACTGATCGAAAAGAAAGAAAAAAAACGCACACACACACACAAGTGGCAGGTCACTGTAGTTCTCCTACATTTTTTTTCCTTCATATTGACCTATCTCACACCGGAATTTCCCTCGATTATCCTCGACTTTTGCCCACCGTTGTGTTATGCGGGATATGTCGGTAATGTCGCTCGTAACTTGGAAATGGTAAGAGGGCTCCAGAGCCCTATTTTTCGTGGTGCCAGCAACTCCGTTGGGTTTTGGGATCATTCTCTCTTTCTCTTCCCCCAATCTCTCTTTATCCTCATCTCCTACTTCTCTATTTCTCTCCCTTCCCCCTATTCCCCACCATGCTTTTTCTCTATCTCTATTTCTTTGCGTATACGCTTCTCCCGTGCCTCATTCACTCTATTTCTCCATGTTTATTTCTTTACCATTTTCACCTTCTCCCTTGCCATTACTTCCCCTTTTCTCCTACCCAATACGTCTCATCCTACATCTACTCTTATACCTCTCCCACTATTTATCCTGTTTTTTTCGTAATTGAATTCTTGAAATTCTTCAAATTGTCGCAATTATACAAACGGGTATCATTGAATTGATTTTCATCGTGCCTATTTTACGAAGTGAAAGAAGATTAGTGAAATATTAACTATTTCGAAAATCACTCTAAATCAGTCTGACATTGAAAAAAAAAAAGAAATACACTTTGCCGCTGCAGCTAAAACCGAAAAGTTACGTTTATTCGTTAAATGAACTCGAGTTATACGCACGGGCATAATTTAGTCGTGCGCGAACGTAACTGTAAGTTGCTGTATAAATATTTAACGTAAAATATACATATATACCTATATCTTCTGGTTGGCCGTTTTTTTCGATATTACGCGGAACGCTTTGCGCGACACACGAAACACACCCAGCAGCAATGACACATCATTATTCGCAGTGAAACGAAATTATGTAGGGAACGGTGGATATTTGCGCTGCACGCAGTATTCGCATACAAAGCAATACAATGGATCATTTCAATCCAAACGTATCGCTTTTTGCAGCCGCTGGGCGTCGAAACGAGAAACACCATTTGGCAATTTTGCTGGCGAGCTAGTCCTGAAAGATGACTACCGTCCCGGTGCTGCTTTCAGGTTTATCCAAGCACAAGCTTTCATGAAAGCTTTTTTCAAAGTAAACCATACTAACACGTTGGATTTCAGAGAGTAAGGGCTACACATCGAGGAGTCGCGCGATACGGATAGAAGCCAAGCAGCAGACTTACAACGGAGAACAATCAGACGGGGGGGAGGTGAAAAAATATCGCAACACTTTTGCGATCACTTGCGCTATTCGGAGGAAACTACCCTTCGATAAACGTTAAAAGAAAAACATGACTGAAAAGGGAAACTTTGACAAATTTTTGTCGAATAATAATGCACGATTTTTTTATTTATAAACCAAAGGATCGACAGTCTGAACGTTCTTTGAATAAACATTAATGTAACAATTGGGGAAAATTCGTCGTTTCTAGAATTACGAGACACACAGTCTGAAGCGATGCGTGAATAACGTTTAATTGCAAGCTTATTTATTCTACCTTGATAATTGATGTTTCCCTTGTAATAAATTAGCAATCAATGTATTTGACGGGAAAATGTAGAAAAAGTCAATTAATCCACGATAATGGGAAAGATTTCATTAATTAATTTCAATTTAATTAATGTTTATGTGCTTCATATTTCGAATGTCGGTCTGAACGTTGAACAAAGAAACTGCTACCGTGGAGAATATTAAAAATAACGTTAAAAATCATCTTGAAAAAAAGAAAATGATTAAATAAGTGATTTGCCCGATTTATCAAATTCTATCGAGTTTAGAAGATCCTCTTTGTAAACTAACGGAATCAATGAACGTTTCGAATGAAAATATGCGTGCACTGATAGTTTGTAATTATATTCATAATTGTAGGCGGAGTGAGAAAATCAAAGTACTTCTCTGGCCCCCTTTGAGCTTGTAACATAAAATAGAAGTTCTGCTAATGACAAAACCGATAGAGCTAACGTTCGCACACACATATGGCTAATGAGCGTCATAAAGTCGCTATACTATCGAGCAATACTACGTAATTAGTAAATGCACGCGAGGTCTGTGAAACTTGATCTTTCATAAATCGTCCATCTAACCGCGGAAGTAACTCCTCCAATGTGTATTTTCCTATAAACGCTGATTAATCGTTTCTCCCAGCAGAAGCGTTGGGAAAAATGTGTTTTCTGCAAAAATAATCCACACACCCTTTCGAAAATACGGAAATATTTCTAACCACTTTAGCCAAACTGAACGAAAACTTTTATTCGATTGAAAAATATTTGCACACAATATTAAAAAGTGTGCGCATGCGACCAACGCGAAAGAATTTCTCTTAAAAGAGTAAATTGCGAACAGCGAATGAAAATTTTTTGCACACACCTTGATTTCCGAAAAAAAAAAAAAATAGATAAAAAATTGATATTGAAGATGCGCAACATACACAAGCCACTTCTTTATCACTGTACGCGATTCTTTTTTTAAATATTTTCACCGGTATGTCTCGTAGCAATGTGCACATGTAATTGATAACGTAAATTTCTTTAGAGAAAAACAAAAAAAAAAAGGACAAAGGCCGAAATATATCGTCAATTATTTTCTTTCACTGAAAGGTATTTCATCGTAAATAATCTCTCTTCATACATATGCTCAATAGTTATAGCTTACTGAGTGCAACAATAGTTATCGATATTTTGAACGTGGTATCTCGAACAATCGAGATCAAAACGGGAAGCACTTATCGTTACTGCGTAAACACGCTTTGTGTGTAGAATTTACTACATCGATTGCTTTCATTCGACGCCAGTGTCAACTTTGAAATACTAACACATACTTGTTACCGTACATGAATGACACACCTAAACCGATTGTTTATCTGTTTCGCGTAAACCTAATTTAGAGTAGAAATCGTCGAACATACGATACAACGCAGCTATTGTTAACTTTGAAAAAAGGATCCAGACAGCATGATTGGGAATATTATAGAAATAGGAATATTATACAAATCTTTTATAGGGACTTATTATTTTTATAAGATTTATAGAGATTTCTTTTTATGGAGATACACAAAATGCAAGGAATTATTATTTAACAAATATTCCCAACAAAAATAGCGAAAACTTAAAAACGGATATGCTCGACAGAGAAGAGGTCCTTTAAAAATACATTTTTCATTCAATTTGATATTCCTAAGATACGAGACCTCAAAATTTTACATTCACAGACTCTGTAAGGATACTAAAAAATTCAGGCAAACTTTATTTCCGCAAGTGGGTATACACATCATACGTGCACTCAGAGAAATATCGAGGCGAACAGGACGAAACTTGGAAATTAGCAAATGTGTTCCAAGAATTAATATGCCTCGAACAATCGATACTTAACTCCTTCCTAATTAAGCTAGTTAATCCAAGCTCTAAAAAAATATTCAGCTAATTAACAAAAAATGTACTCGTCCTCCCTAAGAATCTCTCTGTTTCCACGTAGAAATAACGACAAGTGCTTCAATTTCTGAAAGAGACTTTTGCCCGAAGCGTATGTTAACCCTTTTCTCAAACGAAATTCTCATCGTCGAACGTTAACGCGATATAAAGCGATCTATATCTGCTTTTCTACCAGGCGGCACGAATCGTCGCGTTGACAAGGGGTTAACATTCCCTTCGAACGTTCAAGTGACACCAACTTTTTATTAACTTACGTTTCTCTCGTCGAAACAGGATATCGAAGATCGAAAAAGGAGGTGTAGGCCTGCCAGCTTGCACTTTTCCCACCTCGTTCCAGCTCACTTTCACACTTCTATATGTCGCGCGTCACTTTTCTTTTGTGTACTTCGACGTCTGATCCCGGCGCGTGCCAGCGTCGTAATGACTTTGCGCTACGGGCTCTTCGCAAACCGTGTGTGTCGACTTCTCGGAATCTCAAGTTCCGCGAACTTGCCCGCTGCCTAGGTGAATGAAAGAAAAAAGGTGATTGTTTACAATCGAACATGTTATCCGCGAATATGTACGACGCTCGATAACATTTCGTGCACGCGTGCTTTGTTTATACAGAGGATTGCTCGTGAAATTTCGTCGAGTACGAGGATTTCTTGGAATTTTAACGCCGCGACACTCGGAGGATAACAAAACAGGGTGGGCTTCGACGGAAACGACTTTCAACGTTAAATTATACTGTCACTCAGAAGTATTTCTGATACAGTTTTCTCTCTATTCGAAAATGTGACAAATTTTTTGAAAGAATTACATTTCTTCAAATAAGAGATAAAAGTATTGTGAATTTGATGGGATGTTTCTCTTGAAAGTAATACTGACTGATAAACGCAACAAATATCCGAGTGATTGAGATGTGAATTGTGGGTTAATTCGTTTCGAATTATCTTAATTAACCCCCATTACTATCCGGAACATTTATTTACACGCGCAGGATAATAATTAACGAGATGAACTATTTATTACAGTAATATTGATTGAATCTGTTGAAAATCGGTTCAGTCTGTTGGGCAATTGTGCTATATTTCACGAGGCTCGTATATCTGTTCTTGAGAGGAATATATGTGGAATATTTGTTATAGATTAATAAGCGATTAATCTAATGTCGTGTTTCCGCAACGGATGCATAAATTTCGAGAACTATTCAGCTTAATATATTCGCGTATGGTTATCAATATCCATGTTTTCATTCCATTATCAAGCCAGTTTCAGAATAAAGGATAAGCTACGACGCGAGTATAATAGAAAGATTATTACACTGCTGTGTTCCTGTGTATTTTTCTTTTTTCTTCTTTCTTTTCATAAAATTCTTCAACGCCAGCCCCCTTAAACTCCCTTCCAATTTTTCTCGACGATTCGAATAATTCTTTTATTTTATCAAGCTTTCAACATTTTACCTTCTGTAGAACTGAATTTTTCTCTTAATCGTTGTATTGCCCTAACAAGTTACGCTGTTTGCATAAATCTGTAAGGTCTTAAGATGCTGTCGATAGTATCAATAATTCATGACTCCTTATTACGCTATGGTGATTGCCGGAAGGAAGGAGAGACAGAGAGAGAGAGAGAGAGAAGGAAAACGAGTTTCGCCCTGTGTCCTGAAAATTAGACACCAGGGACAGTTAGGCTCGCGTACTAAAAGTTGTATCGATTTTAATGGAGAGTTAAGTAATAACTTATGAGAAAGGCTATCAGGTCTGGTAATCCCTCGAGCGATAAGTATAAGAGATATACTCCCGCAACGTGAATAAGAGGTAACTTCGTCACGGTATTACCTCTTGCAATTAGAATCGAGCAACTTCGTAAAAATTGATAAGAAGGTGGTGAGAAATAAGAAAATAAAAGTGGTACGGCTATAGTCTACCGAAAGCCTGTAATCCCGAACCGGCTGCAAAGCTCTTTTACTTCCCCCGATAACTTGTAAGTTATGATTGAAGGTGGGAAACCGTTCCTTATGAACTTACAACGTTGATATCATTTAGGAACTTTCTCACCTCCTGTCTGTTTGCTGTCTGCGCTCTATTGCCGCAGGAAAGAATTGAAAAGCAGCGAATCAATTTCCATGAAACTTAACGAAACTCTACTCTTGCGATTCGAACTGATTTGTTCAAACTATCGAACAAAAAAAGATATAATCTGATATAATTGAAAGACACTGTGCAATTGACGTTGAAATCGGAGGAAATGTTTCTTTCTCTCCTCGCTTTGCACAAGCCCGCCATTTCAATATTTGAATAGTTGTTACACGTGAGAAAAATCCTCGACTAACGAAAGCAGGGAAAAGATGTAAATTACTACAACACATACGACCGACAAGTTTCACCGTGGCGAACTCTTTGTACTTTTAAAATACCTCAACGGTTGCAGCTTCATTTCAGAATGCTACACACTCGTTGCAAAATGAAAAGAGAAAGAAAAAAAAAAGGGAAGAAAAAATTTGCTCTGCACAGAAGAAACGGAGAAATCAAATGTTTGAATGCACAGACCGGGGCACATGCAAGAAGCACAACGATGAAAACCGTAAAATCATTTTCAACTGTGCGCGCATTAATGTAAGGGATCCGACAGCTGTCTGTTTTGATGGTTCTGTAATTATTTTCCTTCGTCGTTCATTTTACATCGCGTCGCGACGAACCGACGTCGTAGTTTTCTTTTAATTAAAACATTATTCGTATTGTACAACGTTGTTTCCTGATATTCGATATATTTTACAACGTGCGCGATATTTGCTTTCGGTTTCGATGGACAATTTGAAAACGGCTCGATCGACGAGAATCACGGTTAAATTCGTTGTTTAACGCGAGAACATTTCAACGACAACGTTTATTACTCCTCGAACACCGAGTTGTTAGCATAATAAAACCGAAAAAAAAAGAAGGAGAGAGAGAGAACAATGAATCGCTGCGCACTTTTATGAATCCTTTCTGTCGCTGCGCGAAAACTGTGTTAAGTATCAGGCAACAGCGAACTCGTTCGTGAACGAAAGAATGTAAATTATGTGAAAATATTTATTACCGTTGCGGGATCAGTTAACAATGTTCCGGAAGTCGCACAATCGTCACAAAAATATGCTCTGTTTGGCGCGATTAATATACAGCCAGCGTACTAATTTAAATATCATTTGCACGAGACACAAGTACTTGCGGTCATTAGCGTCCAAAGAATTTAATTACAATTGTTCGAAGCCGACAGCATGCCGCGGGATCTCTGCGTGAAAATTAATCCGACACTAGTTGTCGCCGTGAAACAATCACACGTTAAATTTCGACCGAAAATTTTTCACCGTAGCGATATCTCCTTCAGACTTTCCATCGAGATCGCCGGTGAGAATCTGTTATTTTTAGTAGCGCAATATTCTCCCACTGCAGCAAGTACAATTGTCACGCGGACGAACGATACAAATGGAATTGAAGTATCGAATGGATCGGTAACGAGCGGTTTAACGCGAGCATAATTAAAAATCTCTCACGCTTCAAATGTTTCCCAGTGTAGAAAGAAGGAATACGTTGTATAGAATCTATTATTTCGTTAGGAATTTCAATATCGTCGAAATTGTTTCGTCGCCGTTCTACTACAAATCTCTAAAGCTCGCCTGTTGATGAAAGGAAAGGAAGGATTTTCTACGTTGGAAAACTCCCGGAAGCATGAAACAAGGATACATTGGAAAAATGCGAGGTGCAGTTGAGTTAACCGGTGGTAATCCCTCTTAATGAATCGCGCAACGCAATAGTCATTGGTCACACAACGGGTATACATGAATGTCTACTTTTGAAATTACTCACCGAACAATGGTAGCCGACTAAATATCGAGTTGGCGATATCAAAGCCGACGATCCATCCAGCGGTGCACACAGAACTCGTTGGAGATTCAAGAGGGTGAGAAAAAAAAATAGGAGGAATATCGAAAAGAGATCCGCGAGAGAGAAAGAGAGAGAGTTTTCTGTTTTTTCCCCCTTCGGTTTCTTTTCCTTCTCGGCTGGGTCTCTCACTCGCACTAAAAGCGGTGCCAAGTCAGCGGTTGGCACACACAGGTGCGAAAAAAAAAAGGACGAAACAAAGGGGTGAGAATGAGAGAGAGAGAGAGAGAGAGAGAGAGAGCGAAATGCGGCACAAAGTAACCGTAGGTGGTGTGTAGGCGAGGAGGATCCTCGATGGCAGCGGATTTTTTCGATACGAAAAAAACGAGGAAAGCACGTTCCCCCGGTGAAAGCACTCTTTTTTTTTCCCCGGTTCTCTATCGAATAATCAGCGTCGTGACAATTCGATCAGTGTCCTCGTGGCACTCTACGATGTATCAGGTAGAATCGCGATGGTTTTTCGGTGCAATTACGCCCGGGAAATGTTCGTTCTTCCGTTCGCGAATCTTTCGAGATACGAACATCCAAAGCCACCCCTTCTTTTTCTCTCTGCACAAGATTCTGTCTCCCACGTAGAAGTAGAAATTTCGTGTCAAGATCGTACCGACTTCTTTGCCGAATGTTCTTAACCGTGGAAAAATCGGACGTTCGACGAATAAGATTCGACGGTTTCTCGTGTGAAGAATATCGGAAAATTTTTAAATCAAGATATCCTGCAAAGACTTTTGGCCGTTGACGTGGTCGGTCCCTCGTTATGCGATATATCACGTATGAACGAAGAATCGGCGCAAGTCACTGCGATGCGAGGACGTCGCGACGACTGGCGGACGCAGACTGACTCGAACGCCGTCGTCCCTCGGTTTTCACGGCGCGCCGCGACGCTCAACGTCCCGACGCCGCTCGTCGAGGGCGCTCACGGTCGTTCGTGCCGTTTCGTTTGCGTGGCTTTCCGCCCCTTGCCTTTTCTTGCGATTCTTCGACGCGCACGGCCTGCCCGTCGCGACGCATGACGTCGGGACGCTGGCCTTCTCTTTCATTCTCCCTGCCTTTCTCTCTCACTCTCTTTCATTCTCTCTCCTCTTCTCTCATTCGACGCGCGCTTTCCTTTATGGTGTCTTCGCCGTGAGTGAAGGATGCGACGGGGAGGAAGGACGCGAAACAAGGGTGGAAAAATGAACAAAGACGAATGCAACAGTTGTGAATCTCCTGGCATGTTACATAACGGTAGCATGCTAAGAAAAGTTCCTGTTTTACGCTCGACTTCACCCTCGATTGCTGCTGCATTAGCAGCCCTAAAGTGAATGGGACCTTGCGCACAGACCATTGTTTCTAAATGGAATTAACAATTCTGTGATATTTTATTATATGTATGTGTATACGCTCGAACGAACGGAGAGATAACGCGGTAACCACGAGGAAAATTAAGTTTTCAGATTTTGTCATATTGTGGAATATTCGAATGTTTTTTTTTCCCCCGGGAGATGTAACGAAATTGTTCGAAAACTCGGGCAAAGTAAAAAATAATTCCGACAGAATAATCCGGGGGAAAAAATGATACACAACTACGATGCTGCAAAGGTACGTGTACTTTTTGAAAAGTAGAAAGCACAGCATGAAGAAAATACGAACGCACTGGCACGAAACCGGTACAGAAGTAAACGGGGGATGAGTAAAACAGTTGTGAATCTTTCAGAAGTTACAAGAACGGCGCGGAATTTTCCTGCGTATTCGGATTGCTTATGTATCTCGCTGAATTTTACCAAAGAGAAATTTCCCAAGCATTTTAACACTAAAATCTCTGGATAAAATTATGCATTCCTCTGTTTCTATCGTACCTGTAAAATAATCGATAGAAATCGAATTATCCTGTGAATTGTAAAAGACAAAATCAGAGATAAACAGTTAAAATTTTATTTAAAATACCCTGTCATAATTTGTCACCTTGAGTCACGATCAATTTCATCGCGTAAACAATCAATTACGTAGAAAATATAAATGTAAATTTTTACAAGCATCGAGTGTTATCCTATTCGATTTTCCGCGCTTTCAAGCAAGGAACCGAAGGTAGAACAATTGTTTCGTCGATAATGTCAGTGTCAAAATGGCGTGCGTGTCGAGGACGTTGACGTCGCGACGTTACACACTCCTTGGCCACTACCCCACGCGGTACGGAGATGAAAGACAAAGCAGAAAGAGAAAGAGAGGGTGTCGGTTTTCATCAGCGCGAACGTATGGAAAAATGGACAAAAGACGGACGAGTGCAACAGTTGTTCACTTTCTACAATACATTTATGAGCAGAGGTTCTCTAAACTGCTATACATCCCCACACACAAACGTATTCAGAACTTTTTCATGGAGGTCTCGTAATAAGTGCGGCTTCGCATTGTTCGAACGTTTTTCTTGTCGCGTGAGGAACGCTGAAGACAACGGAAAAATTTTCGACGAACGGACGTGAAGCATGTAAAAAGGACGGCAGAGAATAAATTCTGACATATCTATTTTCCGCGTGCATGCGTATATGCGCAACCATCAACCGCATGCTGTATCGCGAAATAATAAATTACTAAATAATACCCGAAACATTATTTGGATCGGTGATTTCGCCGTGGCTGTGCCGCCGTCCGCGATTAATGAATATCAACAGTCGTTATTAAATATTTATGACGGCGCGGTAATACCGCATAATATTTTTGAATCGCATTAACATTCCACTGTATTCTGGACCGAGAGATATTTATCATGATACGAAACGATTCGCGAAGCTATGTTATATACTTCCCCTGTTCTGTCGCGGTGTATATCGGAGATTATACAGACGCGTAAATAGAACGCACAGATCGTCCCATTCCGCCGCGTTTTTGTATCTTTATACACTGTTGTTTAATCGACATCGTCTGACTATCACGCAACTTCTGCGGAAGAGCAATTTAGTCCCTAAGTAGAGAAAGGTAATAACTCCTCGTTATCTCCTTCGGAGAAAACTGAAGAAAACTGTCTGCTGCCTCGAACCTTTAGGTTTCTCGGTTACAAAAAGTGTTCAAGTTATTTCCTTTCACTGCTCGTTAAATCCGTCTATCTAGTGCGTTCTTGCGTTCTTTTTCCACCCGAAGATTTTGTGTAAAACAAAATTATGGGGAAAAAACGAAGACGATGGGTCGGAAATGACCGGAAGACCGAAGTTCCTCGAAAAAACGGCGATTTAATCGATCTAGAAATTATCCAAACCTTCCCTAGAACCTGATCACCCATAGACATTCGCAAGTTGTACAAACGTAGGCAATCATACGAAAGATTCGAAGCTCATCCAATTTATTTCAACTTTTCCCTCGTAAACCGGGAAGACCCACGGAACGCTTTATTCCCAATCACCGGCATCCTCTTTCGAGTGGCTCTCTTCTTCGCGACAGGTCGTGTATCGCTTCCTTACAAGTGCACGCGACATACACACGCACACAGAGAGAGAGAAGATCGGGCTGCTGTCACGCGTTATTGGATTAGCATCGTTTAACCGGCCGAACATCCCATGGCGCGGTTCTGAAGCAATTTTTCTTCAACGGGGGAACGATGAGGCAAGTGAAAAAACAAAAAGAAGAAAAAAAGAAAGAAAGAGGGGGTTGGTGGTAGTGTCGCGGCTACGGTGGTGGTGCGCGCGGATGCAACAGTTGCTCGTATGACGCCTCTCGCGTTGGCTTCCTCGGCGTCGTTGCATGTCGTCGTGCCGCGTCGTCACTGTAACCGAGCACTGTGACGGAGCACGTAAACGTGCTAGCGCAAGCTCCGCGTCAGGATGCCACCGGAAAGAGGGTGGCGTCGGTGCGGCTGTCCACGGCTTTATACTCCTCCTGGGAATTTCTCTCTCACACCAGCCCCCATTCAGACATTCACCCGAGCTTGGCTACCACCTTCACATCCCCCTAACCTCCCCACCGACAGCCCATTGCACCACCTACGAACGTCACGCACACGTGGAACGCCGCTAAACGTCCAGCGGTGGTACAAAGGCGCGTCGCGACGAGCACGACAGGAAAGTTCTCGGTGATAATTATTATTGTTGCTACGCTACCGGATACCGGTAGCTTCTCCGTGGGTAACAGGCGTTTCACACCCACCTTCACGCATTTCCTATCTAGAATCCGGCTCCTCTCGATGGTGTAATTAATGAATAGGAATCGAGGGCAGATTGATCGTGACGGTGTGAAAAGATAGATCGAAACGTCCGATTTCGAAAAATTAATTTTTACCTTTTCAATTTATTCGGTGAATTGAATCTGTTTCTCGTTTGAAGAATTTCTTGTTTTTTTTTTTAATTGAGAATGAAATTATCGTAACATCTACGAGAGAGAGAGAGAGAGAAGGTGGGATTGCTGTTCTAACACTTTCGTTTCGCGTCAGATAAAATGTACATGCGAATTATTTGAAAAAATAACCCAGCAAAATGGAGCAACATCCTGCGACTCCCAGGAGCACGATTTGTAAATGAGTCGTGCTCGTTAATGCAGCGTAATACATTGAGCGGAAAACGCGAATTGCACCTGCGGGCACGATGCACTCGACAAAGAAGAGTCAGTTAGACACACGCGTAGAAACGGGGATGAAAGGGGATGGGGGGTACGACACAGGTTTTCGAACTTGGCGTAATCAACTGATTGTGCGAAAGCTGCTTATATGGGTGTGAGACCGATCAATATACATAGAGGGAGAGCCAAAACGAGCGTGTAAGAGTAATGAGTGCCTTTGTTCTCCCTTCGCCTCTGTTGAACGCTTCGAGCAATTAGAAAGTTAGATACGCCCTTAACGTGCAGTTTTGTAGAGGGACCCCAGTGTTTATAATGCTATTAGAATCAGTATCGAGACAATTTCATTTTAACTCACGATTTTCAATGTAATACTCAACCAGCTTTCCAAAATAATCGTGCTAATTTCAAGGAACCTCCACGTACCTCTGTGTACAAACATTTCGTTTACGAACCTACCACGTAGCTTTAAAAGTTGTAGTCTTTTAATATGGTAAACAACGCTAAGAAAATCGAAGGTGTACGAATCCCCTTAATCTCGGGAAATCTATGATCTAG